AATCAACAATCCAATGCTACAAAGCAGGAATTGATCACCACCTGGAACATTCCAAGACACTGATCAGATCATTTTTTTCGCAGGTTTGAGCCTCTCTGTAGATGATGATGCCGCCCTGTGGAAAAAACAGAGTACGAGAAGAAACTTATGACATGAAACACCATAGAAACAAATTCGTAAGGTTCGAAAAAAAAGTTATTCTCCTCAGCTTCATTTAGTTAAACGCTCACTTCTCTGTCCTAAGCCGTACGAGTAGTGATGTCTTCCGTTCCAGGTTGGATGAATTCCCGACCAAAACCAGGCCATCTCTAACAGCAGCTCTCAATAATGTTAGAAAGGGCCTCGAGAAGGGTTCTAAGAACATACGGGCATTCAAAACATCGTTCCGTTTTCACACCGGGAACGACCATTCCGCCAAGAAGGAGAGGGTCGGAACCAGGATGACAGTTCTGAATCCACGAGACTCGTTTCTTCAGAACTGGAATAAGGTTTTCCTGCTTCTGTGTGTCATCGCTCTGGCATTCGATCCATTGTTCTTCTATATTCCGGTTGTGGACCGGGACAACTTCTGTCTCAATCTGGACAAGAGGCTGCAGATAATAGCCTCTGTCCTCCGGACAGTGATCGACGCGTTTTACGTCATCCACATCGTGTTTCAGTTTAGAACTGGGTTTGTCCCTCCTTCTTCAAGAGTTTTCGGAAGAGGCGAGCTCATCGATGATCCAAAGGCCATAGCCAAAAGATACCTCTTCTCATACTTTGTGGTGGACATTCTTGCAATTCTGCCTCTTCCACAGGTATGTTTTTCTCTTACTCCTCGACATCATCTGATAGTTTTGGGAATCAACATAAGAAGAAAGCTCTGAAACTTGTTTCTTGCAGGTAGTGGTTCTGGCTATCATTCCAAAGATGAAACGGCCTGCCTCATTGGTGACGAAGGAGCTTCTGAAATGGGTAATATTTTGCCAATATGCACCGAGAATCACTCGTATCCTTCCCCTTTTCAAAGAGGTTACTAGAAATTCAGGTATGGTAACGGAGACAGCGTGGGCTGGAGCTGCTCTAAACCTCTTCCTCTACACACTGGCTAGTCATGTGAGTCTGTGCTCTCGATCACTGTCCCCTTATGTTGTGCCATTAACACGAAACAGATGACAGTTGAAAAAAAACTTGATGGACAGGTGTTTGGAGCCTTCTGGTACTTGATTTCGATAGAAAGGAAAGACAGATGTTGGCGTGAAGCTTGTGAGAAGATACCTGAATGCATTCACGCGAATCTGTACTGTGAAAAAAGTGGCGAAAACAACAGGCGATTTCTAAACTCGACTTGCCCATTAATCGACCCTGGTCAAATCACAGACCCGACCGTCTTCAACTTTGGGATATTCACCGATGCATTGCAGTCTGGGGTGGTGGAGACAATGGACTTCCCCAAGAAGTTCTTGTACTGCTTTTGGTGGGGCCTCCGAAATCTCAGGTCTGTATGACTGTCTCCTGTCCTGATCACGTAGCTGCAATATTCTTTGTAAAGGGTACTTAAGGGTAACTTAAAAGACATATCTTCTTCACATGTACAGTGCAGTTGGGCAAAACCTGAACACAAGCGATTTTGTTGGGGAGGTTATCTTTGCCATTATCATCTGCGTTTCTGGATTAGTCTTGTTCGCTCTGTTGATCGGCAATATGCAGGTAATGCTCCCTCCTCATCACACAGATCGATATTAGCGAGAACCTGCTTACGGAAATCACAATATATGATCACAGAAATATCTACAATCAACTACAGTAAGAGTAGAGGAAATGAGGGTGAGAAGGATGGATGCAGAACAATGGATGTCTCACCGTATGCTACCGGAAGAGATGAGGAAACGCATCAGAAGATATGAGCAGTACAGATGGCAAGAAACCCGAGGAGTCGAGGAAGAATCTCTCCTTCGCAGCCTTCCAAAAGATCTCAGACGGGACATTAAAAGCCATCTTTGCCTCAACTTACTAAAGAGTGTATGAATTGAAGAACTCACTCTGAATCTCTTCCACTTCTCACACGTACCAGATGTGACAAAATTCACCAACTGTTTGAATCTTCAGGTTCCTTGGTTCCAGGCCATGGATGAGAGGATACTAGACGCATTGTGTGACCGTTTGAAGACGAAGCTTTACACTGAGAACAGCTACATTACACGTGAGGGTGACCCAGTTGAGGATATGCTGTTCATAATGAGAGGCAATCTGATAAGTTCAACGACTAGTGGCGGAAGAACTGGTTTCTACAATGCGATTCCCCTCAAGGCCGGCGATTTCTGCGGAGATCTCTTTACATGGGCTCTGGATCCTCATTCTTCTTCTAACCTTCCCACCTCGACCACAACAGTACAGGCTATAACCGAAGTAGAAGGCTTTGTTCTGTCAGCCGATGATCTCAAGTTTGTTGCTACTCAGTACCGTCGCATCCATAGCAAACAACTTCGTCACATGTTCAGGCAAAGAAACGTCGAAATTAAAGCAATCCAGATATTTATACATTACAACTAAATGAAACTGCAAAAAAAAGATCCAAACTCAGGTTTTCTGTTCTTACAGGTATTATTCGGTGCAATGGCAGACATGGGCAGCATGTTTCATTCAAGTAGCATGGAAGAGACATTGTGGAAGGAAGCTTTCAAAGGCTTTACTCGCAGCAGAAGAGATCAAACTACAAAGCACTCTCCAGACTGATTCAGGAAACCCAAAACTCAAATTGGGCGCCACCATTTACGTTTCGAAGTTTGCTTCCAACGCCATACGAAATCTGCGAGCAAATTCAGCAAGCTTCTCCAGATATCCCAAGATGCTACCCCTCGTGCCTCAGAAACCAGCCGATCCTGAGTTTGAACCTGTGGATGAAACTTAGCATCCTCTCATTACCAGGTTTAAGTAAGAGATGCTGAAATGTGTATAATCATTTCTCTCCATTTTATCTGTATATATTGGGTTAAAGACATGCCTAGATGCACTCTAGGTTTTGAAGAACCGAGAGTGTCGATTTCAAGTAAACTTGGAAAGAAAGCTTTCCAATGCCTTAATAAAAACAACTCAGAGAATCGAGAATATCACTCCAGCCCTTAGTAAATTTCATTAGATAGGATACGTTGTTTTTCTCCAACAACATCAGAACAGTACTGTTCCATACACTACAAACCTGAAATATCAAGAAGAAAAAGACTAAACGGCTGGTTTATGGTTAAATTTGGAGGCTACTACAAAGAAGATTAAGTGAACCATCTTTTGTCAGCAAGACAATCTAAAACAGTTTCAGGCACAACTCTCTGAGTTTTTCACTTGTTGTCCTTCTTCTTTGTGGCGTACTGTTGTTCCTTGCGACTTTGGAGCCTCTGCAGAATCTTTAACAGGCCGGAGAGCATTGCTTTAGTGAAGGTATTGTATTTGGAAGCCAAGATTGATGAGTAGCAGTCTGGGAGACCAAGCAACTTCCTCGCATTAGGAGATCTTAATATCGCTGGAATTGATAATGAGGGAACAAAGGTGTATGAATATAAGAGACGAAACCACCACTTGTTCTCAAATGTTTAACAAAACAAGAAAGGAAGGAAGATGTGTATAAACATATCATTATGTTCGCAGAGAAAAACCACTTACCAAGACTTGCTCCATACAAAAATACTCTAGATGGGATCATGAAACAGTACAAGGCCTGCAAAAGTTACAACAGATTGAGATGCACAAGAATGATTGTGTTATCAAGCATGTTGGACCAAGAGATAGAAGCTCCAATTCTCCAAAATCAAGCTTTACCGATTCAAAACTGAATATAGCTTGAAATGCAACACTAGTAAAGATCACCCAAAGCAGTATCCTGGTTCCACCTACTGGATTATGCTGCCTACTGAGGGGCTATCAAAACGGAAAACACAAGTTAAAATGAATAAACGTTGCATTTGGCTTGCGTAATCATAAACACCTACTCTCCCTGTAAACCAGAAAGTGAGCCCCGTCACAACAGGCAAGATGTAAAATCTGTCAGGAGTTGTAAGATCAGTGAACCAGAGGATTCCACCACTTTGGAAGGACGGCATCTTCTGAGCCATGTTGTGTATCTGTACATAGTTTTTTGGGTTAATACAGATTGCCAAAAGATGCAAAGCAGTGAGTTTCGTATTTTTACCGCAAGGAAAGTGCTGACGTAGATGAACCCCTCCGCAAGACTTGCAATCAGTAGCGAAGATAGAAAAGGTTCAAACCTGAAGACCGCCAAAGATGCAAAAGAACAACTTAGCATACCCATTTGAGAGGCAGTCTTTCCATTCATGTAATACTTTTATCATACGGTCAAACAGAGCTCACTCTTCAAAAATTGCCTCCCATTCTTTTTCTCCAGTCACCAATCCATCTGTCTGGAAACGATTAGATAAGCATGGGATATATCACGTGATTCTCACAATTCGTGAAATATTCAAATATTTACGACCAAGATGTCAGCAAAGGTAGTATGAACCTTTGTGATTTTCTTTTCTGGAAAACTAAAAGTCTAAGGGGCCTGGAATGTGGATGTACATGCATGGAAGCTCAAATATGGTAGGAAGAATAACAAACCTCGGCCATTTTCCGCACACGTTGACATATATTCTGGATGAACAAGAAGAACGACTTATGAACAGGCAATTATTGCAAGACGCAAGTAAAGAAACTAAAATGCTGCAAAGGAATTTGATAATAATTGGCAGGTGAAGAAAAAAGCAAGGAAACTAACAACTATATGTGGAATGTTCTTCCAAAGTATTACACGGGTTGGGATATATAGTCCTCCAACAAGAAAAGTCGAGATAACTATCGATGCGCACCTACGCAACAGTGTAAATGTTTTAGAAGCCAACAATAAGTTTACATGAGCAAGAAGCAGGATGAACAAAAAATAAACCGATACCAATTGAAGCCGGTAAATGCATGAACACTATCAATAAAGTGCTGGATGGCAGCAACAGGAAGAGAAGAATCTGCAGCAGCGATTGCCACCTCTTTCACAGAGGAGACTTGAGGGATTACTGCTTCCAAAGATTCTTCTGGGACAAGTTCCTCAACAACTGTGGAAAGATAATCGATCTTGTCCGAACATTCTCCCGGTTTCGAAGACATGTGCCTACAGAGTAAGAAGCCAGATCCCAATGGTCGGGCAAAAGACATATGTTTCCTCTCTTCCAACAAAAGATCAAGCCTACGAGCTTGACTATGCATTCCACAAGCCAAAGGACTGGAATTCAGACAATAAGTTCTGGTATAATCATTGTTAACACGAAGAACTGGCCGTTCGGGCATCCAAAACTGTCTAGGCAAAAGATTTGTCCTCCTCCTCGAGATACTGTGCAAACAAGCCATTTCTAGTAGCGATTTCCTGGATGCAGAAATGACACTGAATTCAGATACCAAACAGTGGAAAATGACGAATCAACAATCCAATGCTACAAAGATCCAGAATTGTGTAGGGCACTGAAACATTTCGAGTTCGAGTTCCAGCTAGAGGCAAAGAAGTAGGGGTGGACGTTTCGGGATTCGGATCGGAATTTTAGCGGTTCAATTCGGAAACGGTTTATTTGGTATTCTAAAATTTGTATCAAATTAGTATAGTATATTATTCGGTTCGGTTCGGTTTTGGTCCTGGTATGGTTCGGTTTCGGTTTTTGTTAAAAAATTTAGATTTTCTTAAGAAAATTTCGGTTTTTTGGAAATTTTATAAAGTTTGATTCGGTTCGGTTCGGTTTCGGGAAATTTGGTTCTATAGAAATCATTCCGTTCGGGAATTTTGAATGGTATGGTTTGAAAAAAATAACGAAATTTTCGGTTTGATACGGTTCGGTTACTGAACCGAAACGCCAACCCCTACAAAGAAGTAAAGAAGCAATAACAATGGATGCATCGGAATTCGGAAAGGTAATGTAGAAACAAGAAAAACATAAAAAGCACAACAGAGTCTCTTCACCTTTGTGAATTTTCAGATCAAGCCGAGAAAAAGCGAGAAAATTGAAGAAGAGAAGATGGAAAATCTCCAGGTTTGTTATTCAGTCCGTTGCACTTTTTACGTTTCACGATCCTTAAATAAACGAGCATATGCATACGTGAAAAATACAAAACCATATGTGATGGTTGTACATCTGTAGAGAAACGCTATCAAGGAGTTGCGAATATTTGCACAGGAAACCAGACGAAAAACAAATATCTTCCAGAAGAGGGAAATAATATTTTCCCGAGAAATCCAGAGAAAGAAACAAGTTCCAGCTCAGATTTGGCCAAAGCAAATCAAATGGAAACCCTAAGCTGCTCTCCCCTTCGAGCACAAGACCTAGACGACAGTGCGAGTTGCAGAAAGTTTTCTGGGTTTCACCTACTTTTTCCCAGCAAACAAACAGGAAGCACAAAACGAATCGCAAAAAAAAAAACTCACCTCTTCAGCTGAGGATTAAGAAAAGCTTCACTGTCAAGAGAGATCGTGGAACAGAGAGCACAAAACAGAGTGTTGATGAATGATTCATAAGGACTGTGTTTTCACGTACGGTCCTTTCCGCCATCCCCATGGCGTGACACACCTCACGATTTAGGCAACCGTACAAATCGTTCGCCGAGGCCGCTCTATTGGGCCTATCATAATCTGATTCATTTGAGCCCATAACCCGAATACGACTAAGTGAATAACCGCAGAAACGGATCAGAAAATATAAATGTATTTATTTACAACGGGAGAGTGAAAGAGTTATAAATGTAAATCAAAATATCTTTAGGGGTGGATTAATGATTAGTTTCTTTTTATTCGGCTTTGTTTATTTAAATTATTTTCGGTTTAAAAATTTATAAACCAAAATTTGAATGACAGTATACAAAAATGTTTTAAAAAAACTCAATCTGGTTGTATATGATAGTAACAAAATTAAATAAACAATTTTGACTTAGATATAGTATGTAAACAATATCGTTGAATAAAACTATAAACCTGAAATATCAAGAAGAAAAAGACCAACAGGCTGATTTGACGGTTAAATTAGGAAGAGGAGCCGACCAAAAAGATGGAACTAGAAAAAAGGCTAAAAGGCTTATTTCATGGCTAAGAACAGAGGAGGAACCTACCAAGAAGATGAAGTGAAGACAGACTAAAACAGTTTCAGTTCAGGTACAACTCTCTGAGTTTTCACCTCTTCTTGTTCTTGCCCTTCTTCTTTGCGGCATTCCGGATTTTCTTGGGACTTTGGATCCTCTCCGCGTTCTTTAACAGCTCCTTCTTTGTGGCATTCGGGGCTTTACTGGCACTTTGGATCCTCTGGGATATCTCTAACACCTCGGAGAGCGTAACTCCATCAGGAGAACCGTCTGGGAGATTTCTAATCTTGAGCAACTTCCTCACCTTTGGTGATTTTGTCGCTGTATTTGACAATGAGGGAAACAAGGGGTATGAATTCAAGAGACGTATCCACCATTTCTTCTCACACACTTGACAAAACAAGAAATGAAAGGAGACGCATATGAAAGATATCATTAAGTTCGTAGGGAAATCCACTTACCCATATCTAATCCATACCCAATTATATTAGATGAGATCATGAAACAGAACACTGCCTGCAAAAGTTACAACAGATTGAGACGCACATGAATGGCTATGATATCAAGAATGCTGGACAAAGAAATAGAAGCTACGCTCCTCAAAACTCAAGCTTTACCGATTCAATACTGAATATAGCTTGAAATGCAACAGTAGTAAAGATCCAACAAAGAAGGCTAAAGGCTTCAAATCCTGGTTTCTGCTGCCTTTGGTAGGAGTCGTCGGACTATCAAAATGGAAAAGTCAAGTTAATTGAACATACACTGTATTTGGTTTGCAAAATCATAAACACCTACCATCGTTGTAAACCAGAAAGTGACTCCCAACACAGCAGGCAAGACGTAAAAGCTGTCTGGAGTTGTAAGATCAGTGAACCAGAGGATTCCACCGCTTTCGAAGGATGGCATCTTCTGAGCCATGTTCCGTATCTGTTCAGAGTTTTTTTGGGTTAGTACAGATGGCCAAAAGATTCAAAGCAGCGAGTTTCGTAATTTTACTGCAAGGAAAGTGCTGATGTAGATGAACCAGTCCGCAGCAGTTGCAATCAGTAGAGAAAGACCAGGTTTCAAGCTGCAGCAGTCCGCCGAAGAAGCAGAAAAAAAAAACAGATTACTATAGCAATTTGAGAGGCGGTCTTTTGTTCATGTAATGACTTTTATCATATGGTCAAAGAGAGCTCACTCGTCAAAGATCAATAGCCATTCTCTTTTAAACTTCACTAGATCTGTCTGCAAATAACCACTTGATTAGAAAAGCATGAGATATATCACGTGTTTTTCACCATTTTGAAATATTTACAGCCAATGGACCTTTTCGAATTTCTTTTCAGCAAAACTAGGAGACTAAGTGAAGGGCCGATTTGGCTCAGCGGTAAAACCATTTACACTGGGGTTTGAGGTCGTGGATTTGAATCCGTCAACAACAACAACAACAACATGGTCTTATTCCCAAGTTCATTTGGGGTCGGCCGCATGAATCCTTCTTCTCCACTCATTTCGATCTCGGGTTAACTCTTTCGGAATCTGCAACATTTTCAAATCGTTTTTAATGACCCGCTCCCAAGTAAGCCTAGGTCTTCCTCGTCCTTTCTTTCTCACCCCTATACCTATACTCTCCACTTTTCTAACCGGTGCATCAATCGGCCTACGTTGTACATGACCAAACCATCTTAAACGCCCTTCTCTTATCTTCTCTTCGATACCTATTACTCCTATTTTCTTTCTAATAATCTCATTTCTAATTTTATCCAATCTTGTGTGTCCGCAAATCCATCTCAACATCCTCATCTCGGCCACACTCATTGCAGACATATGTTGCCCTTTCGCCGCCCAACATTCACTACCATACAATAGTGCGGGTCTTATGGCGGTACGGTAGAATTTTCCTTTCAACCGTAGGGGAACCTTACGGTCACAAAGAACCCCCGTGGCTTGTCTCCATTTCATCCAACCCGCTTTTATTCTATGACTAACATCTTCGTCGCAACCTCCATCCTTTTGAAGGATTGACCCAAGATATTTAAAATGTGGATTTGAATCCGTCACTCTACATAAAATGTAGGGATAAAGCGGCCTATTATATTTCCTTCCCCAACACCCCACTAGATGGGGATACGAATTGGGTTGGTCCTTTCAAACTAGGAGTCGAAGTGGCCTGGAATGTGGATGTACATTCATGGAAGCTCAAAGATGGGAAGACGAATAACAAACCTGGATCATTTTCACTGCATGTTGAAAAGTATTCTGAAAAAGTAAGAAGAACGACTTGTGAACAGGCAATTATTGCAAGATGAATAAAAAGGAGCTAAAATGCTGCTGCAAAGGAATTCGATAACAATTGGCAGGTCAAGAAAAAGCATAAGAAACTAACAGCAAATCTGGACCGGCATTCAACCGTTTTACATGGGCTGGGATATATAATCCTCCAACAAGAAAAGTCGAGAGAACTATCGATAAACACCTACACAACAGCATAAATGTTTTAGAAGCCATAACAAAGTATATATAAGCAAGAAGCAAGATGAACAAAAAAATAAATTGATACCAATTGAAGCCGGTAAATGCATGAACACTATCAATAAAGTGCTGGATGGCAGCAACAGGAAGAGAAGAATCTGCAGCAGCGATTGCCACCTCTTTTACAGAGGAGACTTGAGAGATTACTGCTTCCAAAGATTCTTCTGGGACAAGTTCCTCAACAACTGTGGAATTCCAATCGATCTTGTTCGAACATTCTTCTGGTTTCGAAGACATGTGCCTACAGAGTAAGAAGCCAGATCCCAATGTTCGGGCAAAAGACATGTGTTTCCTCTCTTCCAACGAACAATCATGCCTACGAGCTTGACTATGCAGTCCACAAGTCAAAGGGCTGGAATTCAAATAATCAGTTCTGGTATCATCTTTGTTAACATGAAGAACTGGCCGTTCGAGCATCCAAAACTGTCTAGGCAAAAGATTTGTCCTCCTCGAGACAGCACGCAAACAAGCCATTTCTAGCAGGAATTTCCTGGAGGAAGTAACGGCTCTGAATTCAGTAACCAAACCGTTGAAACAAAATCCAAGACCAGAGTTCTATAGGACACTGAAACATTTTTGAAAAGCATTAAAGAAACATTCTTTGTGAATATTCAGATCAACCAGAGAAAAGGAGAGAAAATCGAAGCAGAGAAGATGGACATTATCCAGGTTTGTTATTCAGTCTGCTGTACTTTTTGCACGTTTCACTTTCTTCAGATGCATGAGCACGTGTATATGTGGAAATCCGAAATCATATATGATAATTGCAAAGTCTGTCACGATACGCTATCTAGTAGGCGCAAATCCGAATTCATATCAGATAGTTGCAAGTCTAATAAGAACGATGCTTAAAAGAGGAAACCAGATGCTAGAATCCGTAGAACAAATAATTTCCAGAAGGAGGGAATAATATTTTCCGGAGAAATTTAGAGAAAGAAACAAGTTTATGCGTCGGATTTGGCCAACAGAAATCAAATGGAAATCCTAAGCCGGTCTCATCTTCGAGAACAAGACCTAGACAACGGTAAGAGTTGCAGAAAGTTTCCTCGGTTTCACCACATTTGTCCCAGGAAGCATAAAACGAATGGCCGAAAAACACAGTACCTCCTTACCAGGGGATTAAGAAAAGCTCGATCTCCAGTACCGCTTCGATTTCGATTTCGATTTCGAGCGAGAGCGAGAGAGAGACTCTGGTAAAGCTCGATCACCAGTACAGCTTCAATTTCAAGAGAGAGATTCTGGAACTCAGTTTGAAAATCGGTGAAGGAACTTGGCATTCATTCAGGTACGGCCATTCCACCTGAGGTTTTAGGCAAATAGTACAGATCATTACGAGGCCGATCAATTGGGCTAAAGGGCCCATGAAAATATGAATCATTTGATTTGACCCATGAGCCCAAAATACGAGTAATTAAATATCGGCCGAAACGCGCAATGTAAATGTCTTCTTTATTCAAATCAAATCTGGAGAGAGAGGGAGAGGATTATAAAAAGAAAGCTTCCCATTTGTAACTTGTCACCTTCAGCCCGTGTTCACGTACGGTCCTTCCCGCCATGCACCTGGCGTGGCACACCTCACGATTTAGGCAACAGTACAAATCGTTCGCCGAGGCCCCTCTATTGGGCCTATCATAATCCGGGTCGAACCGTTTCTAAATCCATATTCATTATTCTATATGTATGTAGTTTGTGCAGGTATAAAAAATAAATAAATACATGTATATACACACACACGTAGACAGTTTTTAGGTATATATATATATATATATATGCACATAATGTTTTTAGATATATATAAAAAAATATTATTGATACACATTATATAAAAAAAATTATTGATAAAATGTGGTTGACTGAATAAAAATTAGGGGTGGGCATAATATCCGAAAAAACCGATCCGATCCGTTATTCGATCCGTATCCGAACCGAAAATTCGGATATCCGGAGTGCACGGATCGGATACGGATATTGATTTCAAAATATTTGTCGGATACGGATCGGATACGGATATCAAAATAAAATTATCCGACATATCCGATCCGATCCGTACCTTTTAGTAATATTAATAATATATGACTAATTTTATAATTAGTTTATATATAAGGGTTAATTGTGTAAAAAACAAAAAATATGTTAGGGTTTTTGCTCTTGGAGTTCCAACTCCGTAAGTCTGCATCCTCCTCCCCCTTCTCTCTCTACCGCAAATATTAGCCGACTCTCTCTCTATATCCCAGCCCATGTAAACGTCTCCGGCGGATTGGCCTTTTGGTGTGACGTGTTTTTCTGGTCGAAAAGTTTGCCCCGCTGCTAGCCCGTGTTTCTCTGGTAGATTTCTCGTGTTTTGGATCTGATATGAGGACTATTCTGTCGCGTTTGAGCCATTACCGATCATCTCTTCCCCAGATACAGTGAACTTTCTACTCTGGTTCCTGTCCGAATTTCTAATTGATCCTGTTCCCATCGTTTTCTGCATGTTCGTTTACTTTGGGTTTTTAGATTTTAGAATTATTTTGGGAATCACAAAGTTTATGCGTCTACATACATTGATGGGTGAGATGGTATAGAAATGTGATATCTTTGGGATTTCTTCGGAATTACATGATTTAGGGTTTTTTCCCCAAACTTGGTGAGTTTTGGGTTCCATTGGTAGTGACGTGGTGTTATCCATCCTTATATCTGATTCAAATCTCATCATTGAATTTATTTTCTTTTTTTTTAGTGGGTTCAAGAATTATGATGCTGTTGAACTTATGATGCATTTTGGATAGATTTTGATGTTGAATTTTATGCCATTGATGTATTAATTTTGCAGATTTGTCTGTTCAGTTTTTTTTTTAAATTTTACGCTGAGTTCGGGTTCGGGTATCGCGGGTATACCGAACTCATGTCTCGAGTACCCGGATTTTGCGAGATAGAGATCGAGATATTTCAATCAAAAACCCGACGAGAACGAGATCGAGAAAAAGATATCCTAAAAAGTTCGTGTACCCGCCCGCCATGTCCACCTCTAATATCCATTAAGTAAAAATCAAATGAATAAATAAATTATTTTTTTTTATTTTTTTGTCGGATACGGATATTTGTAAATATCCGATGTTTTTTCGGATATCCGAAATTGCGGATATTCGAAAACTGCGGATCGGATACGAATAACAAAATTTGATATTTGTACGGATCGGATACGGATACAAATATCTAAAAAAGTCCGGATATCCGATCCGTGCCCACCCCTAATAAAAATGAGCAAAGAGTATCTCATCTCATTTTGAACTCCATCTTAATCAAATCACATCTTATAAAAATTTAGGGATAAATCCAAAAAAAAAATCAACTATTTTATTTACACTAAAAAATCTTTCTACTTAAAATTGATTATAAAAAACTATCAACTATTAATTTTAAGTAAAAAAGACAATCAACTATATAAATTATTTAAAATCAAACTTTGACTTTAAATTTATTATAAAAATTCATCAATTGTCTAAATTATTCAAAAATATTTTCTTTTAAATATATTATAAAAATATATAAAATTTGATAGAAATTATATATAAACTATACAATTCTAAAAGTCACAATTAAAATATAATATTTATTTAAACTTATCATATTGTTAAAATTTATACAAATACGATAAACATCAATTATTATATAATAAATTTATATACAAACATTAATTTTAAAATTGAATATATTTTATTGGTTGTAAATGTTATATTTAAGTTTTATATAATATTTTGAGGGATAGTAAACTATTAATTTGATTTTTCTATAACAATTAAAATTTTTCATTGTTTTTATAATAATTTTAATAAAAAAAAATTATCAACTATCTAAAATTATAAAATAATTCTATTTTAAATAGAAAAATCTATAACCAATAAAATATATTTAATTTAAAATATTATATATAAACCTATCATACATATATTATCTCTTATATCTACATCTAATAAAATATACACAATTTACAATCTCTCGAATATTAATATATGATAACATCTTACATATAATATTTACAACTAATAAACCAGACTCGATTTTAAAGATAATAATTTTAAAAAAATTTATTATATAAAGATTGATGTTTATAATCTTTGTACAAACTTTAACTACGATAAATTTAAATAAGTATTTAGATTTTTATTTTGATTTTTAAAATTATATAATTTATATATGTTTTCTATTCAAATTTTATAGAGTTTTCTAATAAGTGTAAAGTATAATATTTTTTTGAGTAATTTAGATAGATGATGATTTTTTTAATCAAAATTACTAGTTGATGATTTTTATAATAAATTTAAAATGAAAGATTGATTTTAATCAATTAATATAGTTGATGGTATTTTTTTACTCAAAATTAATAGCTGATGGTTTTTTATAATTAATTTTAAGTAACAGATGTTTTTTTGTGTAAATGAGATAGTTGAAAGATTTTTTTGAGTTTGTCCCAAAAAATTATTGACATAACTTTTGTAAATATGGCATATAACTAGAGTCTAACTTTATATATTTTTTTATTCTAAAAAATTTAGTTACTTTACTATTATAATCAAATCAAATCCAATTTAGATTTTATTACTATTTGGCTATAACTAGGTGAGAACCGCGCTACGCGCGGTTTGTTGTATTTTTTTATGTATATATATATATACACTAATCAACAACAATAAATAAAAGCCAATGATAAAGTCTAAAACAAATAATCTTAGATGTGGGTTGGATAATCATATTAATAAAACATTATAGCAGAATTTGTTAGCAATGCCTTTAAACCCTATATAATGAGTGATTCCAAATAAATGAGAACCAACAGAAGGTTAATTAAGTAGAATCTTTTAATTATTCGTTAATAATATGTATCAAGTACGGTTTTACATAATTTAAAATATATTATTCTTAAATTAAAGTGAGATACAACTATCAAATTATTGCTCTTTTAGGCTAAACATAAAAATAAAATAGAATATACGATGAATCAAAATAATTGAATATCATGATACGATCTAGATAATGGTTTAAGTTCGATCAGATATTATTTATATCAATTCGGACACATCCCTTGAACTTTATAATTTTTTTTAATAAAATAAATTTGTTAGATTATAAAAGTTGGATAGATATATTTCTAGATTGAGAAAGCAAACCCATACAAATTCATCTTTATAATTTATTTATATTATTATTTTAATTTAATGATAAAATAAAATCAAATAAAAGTATCTCTATAAAAAAAATTGGTGTTTAATTTAATGAGGAAAATAGGATTCAAAAGTCATTGAGAAACTAAACGAATTCATCTTTATAATCAATTGTTTTGTTATAAAAATAAAAGAAAATTCTAAAAAAAGTACTGAACTTTCAAATTTTGACAAAAAAATACTGAATATTTTATTTTATCAAATAAACACTTAAATCTTCTATGATTGTCAAAATAAATAGAATGAATGACGTGGTACAATGAGATGCAAACACGTCAGATTATTTTACTTAGTTTTTTTATAATCGATAAATTTCATGTATTTTTTTAAATCATTAAAAAAATTCAGTGTTTTCTTTATAATCACAAAAAAATTCATGTATTTTTTGGATCATTTAGAAAGTTCAATGTTTTTAGATTCTTTTAAAAAATTTAATATTTATTTGACAAAGAAATAAAGTTTAATATTTTTTCGCCGGTAGGTACATATTGTTTTTTGTTTTTTGAGCTAATAATAGGCTTGGCGTTTTTTTTTTTAAACTTTTTACTCTACTAACTATTAATTTGATGTTAAATCTAATTTAAAATTACAGTATTTTCATTTTCTCAAAATATAATTATTTTAATTACCATAATTAACATAAAAATAAAGATGAATTGTTTTATTTTTAAAATAATAATATAATGATTTTTACCAAATAAATTATTTTTTCCCCAAAATCATATTTATAGTATTCTAATTAAATATCTAATGAGATTAACATATTATCATTTTAATAAATAAAATCCATTTTTTTTATTTGAACATAATTTTTTCAAAATAATATCATTTGAATTTAATATATTAGACTAACAACGAAATTAGAAATTATTTTCATTATATGAAACTAAAGTTCTTATTTTTTTTTCCAAAATCATATTTATAATATTCTAATTAAATATCTAATGAGAATTTTAATGGCCAATAAAAATTAAATCAAATGCCGCATAGATAATGAGGTGGAGATGAGATGGCTTCACCACAATGCTTTAAACCTTATTATTATATATAGATAGATTTGAATTAGATATAAATGAATCAAATTGTAACTATAAATAAATCGAGTTGAATAAATTTAAATAGCCGTTTTGATCATGAATTTTCAATTAAACTTGGAAAGAAAGCCTTGGAAAAAACGAATATCACTCCAGCCCTTGACGAAGTTCATTAGATAGGATACGATGCTTCCAGAATAGGATTTGTTCGATACACTACAAACCTGAAATGTCAAGAAGAAAAACTCGGAGGAGGAGACAATATGAAGCAATTGTAGGAAAAACTCTCTGAGCTTTCACTTCTTGCCCTTCTGCTTTGTGGCGTCCCATTGTTCCATGCGACTTCGGATCTTCTGCTTCAACTTTAACAGCTCGGGGCGAATTTCTTCATTGACGGCCTTGTAAGTCGCGTATAATGCGAAATGGTCTGGGAGACCGAGCAACTCCCTCACCTTTGGAGATTTTTCCATGGCTGGAATTGATAACGAGGGAACAAATGTGTATGAATACAAGAGACAGGACCACGACATGTTAAACAAAACAAGAAAGGAAGGGAGATGTGTATGAAACATATCATTATGTTCGAATAGAAAAACCACTTACCCAGATCTATTCCATGCATAGCTACTCTAGATGAGATCATGAAACAGTACACGGCCTGCAAAAGTTACAACAGATTGGGACTCACATGGAAACAGAAGCTACGCTTCTCAGAACTCAAGCTTTACCGATTCAATACTGAATGTGGCTTGAAATGCAACACTCGCAGAGATCCAACAAAGCAGCCTCATGCTTCTTCTGGCTGCTGAATTCTGCTGCCTACTGAGGGGCTATCAAAACGGAAAACACAAGTTAAATGAATAAACGTTGCATTTGGCTTGCGTAATTATAAACACCTACTATCATCGTAAAGCAGAAAGTGAGCCCCGTCACAACAGGCAAGATGTAAAAACTGTCTGGAGTTGTAAGATCAGTGAACCAGAGGATTCCACCGCTTTCGAAGGATGGCATCTTCTGAGCCATGTTCCTTACCTGTTCAGAGTTTTTTTTGGGTTAATACACATTGCCAAAAGATGCAAAAACGCGACTTTCGTATGTTTACCGCAAGGAAAGTGCTGATGTAGATGAACCCCTCCGCAAGCTTTGCAATCAGATAAGAAGCTAGAAGAGGATTAAACCTGAAGTCCGCCAAAGATGCAAAAGAGCAAATTAGATACCGATTTGAGAGGCAGTCTTTCCGTTCATGTAATGCTTTTATCATACGGTCAAACAGAGCTCACCCTTTAAAAATTGCCTCCCATTCTTTTTCTCCAGTCTCCAAACCATATCTCTGGAGACATTAGATAAGCATGAGATATTCAAATATTTGAGGCCAAGATGTCAGCAAAGGTACGTATGAACCTTTGTGATTTCCTTTTTCTGGAAAACCAGAAGCCTAACTGGCCAGGAAATTGGAATATGGATGTAAATGCATGGAAGTCCAAAGATGGTAAGAAGGATACCAAACCTTGAGCGTTTTCCCCAAATGTTGGTATATATCCTGAAAGAGGAAGAAGAACGACTTATGAACATGGATTATAACTATTGCCCGATGCAAGAAATGAAACTAAATGCTGCAAAGGAATTTGATAAGAGTTGGCAGGCCAAGAAAAAAGCATGGAAAACTAACAGCTAAATGTGGACCCATCTTCAAAACTTTTACACGAGTTGGGATATATAGTCCTCCGACGAGAAACGTCGAGAGAACTATGGATGCGAACCTACACAGCAGCGTAAATTGTTTAGAAGCCAACCACAAAGTATATATAAGCAAGAAGCATGATGAACAAAAACTAAATTGATACCAATTGAAGCCTGTAAACGCATGAACACTGTCAATAAACTAAAGTGCTGGATGGCAGCAACTGGAAGAGAAGAACCCGCAGCTGCATTTGCCACCTCGTTTACAGAGGAGACTTGAGTGATTACTGCTTCGAAAGATCCTTCTGGGACAAGTTCCTCAACAACTGCGGGATTACAATCGATCTTATTTGAACATTCTCCTGGTTTCGAAGACATGTGCCTACAGAGAAAGAAGCCAGGTCCCAATGGTCGGACAAAAGATGTGTGTTTCTTCCTTTCCAACAAAAAATCAAGCCTACGAGCTTGACTATGCACTCCACGAGTCAAAGGACTTGAGTTCAGACAATCAGATCCGGTATCATCTTTGTTAACACGAAGAACTGGGCGTTCGAACATCCAGAACTGTCTAGGCAAAAGATTTGTCCTCCTCGAGACACTGCGCAAACAAGCCATTTCTAGTAGGAATTTCCTGGACGAAGAAATGTCACAGAATTCAGATACCAAACAGAGGAAGATGACGATTTAAGAATCCAATGCTTTAGCACAACGATCCAGAGTTCTATAGGAAACTGAAACATTTCGAGTTCGAGTTCCAGCTAGAGGCAAGGAAGTAAAGAAGCAATAATATTTTCCCGAGAAATCCAGAGAAAGAAACGATTTCCAGCTCAGATTTGGTCAACACAAATCAAATGGAAACCCTAAGCTGCTATCCTCTTTGAGCACAAGACCTAGACGACCGTACGAGTTGCAGAAAGTTTTCTCGGCTTCACCTCGTTTTTCCCAGCAGACGCAAAAACGAATGGGCTTACCAAAACCAAAAAACTCAATCATATTGAGAAGGTGATTCATTCGATGACGTCACACTTATGTAATACTTATGTAAGCGATTATGTAATGTTTATGTAATGCTTATGTAAGCGATTACATCAGGATGATGTAATGCTTATGTAAGGAGTTGTAGAAGTTTGAATTTGTGTGTGTGTTAGGTGTGATTGAAGAAAATAAGGATATGGTAGGTGTGAGATGTGTGGTTGTGATGAGAGTAGTAGGTTTGGAGTTTTAGTATAAATAGGGGGTGTTGTATGGAGGTTTTCATATCAAGTTTTCCTAAGCATTTATCTCTTAACACTTCTCTCTCTTTTCTCTCTTTATTTTCTTACAAAAGTTCTAAGCATAAGTGCTAAGAATCTTCAATATTTTCTCGTTTTTCTTTCTTTGCACTATGCACTAAAGAAGAGAAGATAAGAAGCTTGTGAATGATAATATAATACAAGCTTCGTAACATGGTATCAGAGCCTACTACGATTCAAGGAACGACGCTGCACTAATCCAAGCACAAGGAAGAGCACTAGATCGAAGCACAAGACGCACCACGAAGCACAACTTGCACGAAGAGCACTATGGCGGTAAATCTCCAAAATATTCAACCCATTGCTATTTTTGATGGCCAAAATTATGAGTTATGGGCCACGAGGATGAAGACGACGTTGATGTTGAGAGACTTATGGGACGTTGTCGAAAAAGGCGTTCTGGCACAACCATCGGAGACCACAGAAACTCCGACGAAAAATCAAGAGACGGATCTCACAAAATGGAGAGAGGTCAAAATGAAGGACATGACGGCTCTCCAACTTCTACAAAATTCCATCACAGATTCTGTCTTCCGGAAGGTGATAATGGCCACGACATCAAAGGAGGTGTGGACCAAACTGCAAGAAGCATATCAAGGTAACGAACGAGCCATACTTGTTCGTTTACAATCTTTACATACTCAATTCGAAAATTTGAGAATGAAAGATGGTGAAAGAATAAGAGCATATACGGATAGAGTGATGGATATCGCAAATCAAATGGAACAATTGGGAGAAGGAAAGAAAAATTTTGAAATCATAAGGAAGATCCTAACAACGATGCCAAAGGCATACGCAACTTTGGCAGCGTTGATGGAGGAGACGAAAGATTTGAGAAACATAAGTGTCACAGATCTGGTTGGATCTTTGATCGCACATGAATCAAAGTTCCTACCGGATGAAGAAGGAAATTCAGAAGGAGCTTTTCCTGCTCGATCAAAGAATAACAAAGGAGGTAACAAAGGTCTCTGGAGGTTTAATCCAAAAGGGAAGAAATGGTGTGGTTATTGTAAGAAAGATAATCACGCTGAAGAGGAGTGCTACTTCAAAAACAAGAAGGGCAAACAAGACCAACAAGTGAGGAGGTCGAAAGAATGCTATATCTGCGGAAAGGCGGGACATTTGGCTCGAGACTGTAGAAGGAACGAAAATCAACATGCTCAAGTCACACAAACGGAAGGCATGAATGAACAACTATTTACGGCGAGAGATGAAGCTATGATCGCCCAAGGGGAAGACATGTGGCTAATCGACAGTGGATGCACAAATCACATGTCCAAAGATATCTGGTACTTCAAGAAAATAGACCGAGATATCAAGATCCCTATCCGAGTAGGGAATGGAGCCGTAATCTTGACGGAAGGAAAAGGAGATATCGTGGTAAACACGAAAAAAGGTGCAAGAGTTATCAAGGATGTGTTCTATGTTCCGAAGTTGGACAAGAACCTACTCAGCGTTCCTCAAATGCTTCTAAACGGGTACGAACTCAACTTCAAAGAAAGTAGTTGTGTGATTCGTGATCCTATGGGAAGGAAAATTGCCGAAATACAAATGCAGAGGAAGAGCTTTCCAATGCAACTTGTGAGAGCATGCGAGTCTTCCTATACGGTTAAAGAAGATTCGATGGCTCAACTGTGGCACCGAAGGCTTGGGCATAATAGTAACTCATACATGCAAAAGTTACTACAGAAGAATATGGCGAAGGGAATCCCTAACTTTGGCAACTACAATGAGGTGTGTGAAGCATGCCAATTAGGGAAACAATCAAGACTCGTGTTTCCATCATCCTCATCAAGAGCTCAGAAGAAGTTGGAGCTAGTGCACTCGGATATATGCGGACCGATGCAAACACCTTCGCTTGATGGAAGCAGGTATTTCCTACTCTTCATCGATGATTATTCGAGAATGACGTGGGTATATTTTCTGAAAAACAAGTCAGAAACATTCGGGATGTTCAAGAAGTTTAAGGCTATGGTAGAGAACCAAGCTGAAGAAAAAATCAAGACACTCAGATCAGATCGAGGAGGAGAGTACACATCGCAAGAGTTTGCAAGATTCTGCGAAAGTCAGGGTATCTCGAGGCAGCTTACGGTGGCATACTCTCCACAACAAAATGGAGTAAGTGAAAGGAAGAACCGAAGTGTTATGGAGATGGCAAGAGCGATGCTGAAGGAAGCCGAAATGGAAAACAACTTCTGGGCAGAGGCAGTATACACTGCAGTATACCTGCAAAACAGACTACCTTCGGCAGCATTAGAGAATACTACTCCGATTGAGGTATGGACAGGACATAAACCCTCACTAAGTCACTTGAAAGTGTTTGGGTGTCTGTGTTATGTCCATGTACCAGATGAAAGGCGAACAAAGCTAGAAGATAAAGCGGAGAAAGGTGTACTCATTGGGTATAGTAGTCAAAGCAAAGGCTACAGTGTTTACTTGCCGGAGAAGCAAAGAGTTGCAGTTGCACGAGATGTCAAATTTGATGAAAGTCAAACATGGGAGTGGAGCAAAAGCTTAGAGAAAGGAAAAGGTATTGCAATTCCTGCACCAGATTTCTATAAGGATTCGAATGGAGAATCAAGTGGTTCTACATCCACCAACACTGGAGAAGACACTCCAGAAGGGAGTTCATCAGAACCTAGAAACCCGAAGACGAGGTCTATGAAGGAGATACTTGAAGTCGCTCCAAGAGTGTTGGACTATTCTGCAGACATGATGGAAGCATGTTTCATATGTTCTGTAGAACCAACAAGTTTTGAAGAGGCTGAAAATTATCCAGAATGGAGAAAAGCGATGGAAGAAGAAATCAACATGATTGAGAAAAATAACACTTGGGAGTTGGTGGAAAGACCCGAGAAGAAGAAGGCTATCACTGTGAAGTGGATCTACAAACTCAAGACTGCTGCAGATGGATTCATACAAAGGCATAAGGCGAGGCTGGTTGCAAGAGGGTTCAGTCAGAAGTACGGTGAGGACTACACAGAGACGTTTGCACCTGTGTCAAGGTACGATACCATCAGACTCATACTTGCGATTGCAGCACAAAAGAAAT